TCAAACTTCCCATGGTTGTTCAAGACGGTTTTACAAAAATTTAATCGACAAACGTCTGTCTTTGACGCATCAAACAACCGTCGATTAATGAAATTAAATTTACAATTATGCGAAAGTCTTTTATGAACTTAACGAAATTCACACCTCATGCATAACTCCCAGTCTAATTAATTTTCCGATTTGAATAGAACTTCAATGTACTTCACTTTTTTGTAGCTAAAGACTCAAATGCACCCAAAATATGTACCGTATGTGTACGCTACCCTGCAGAGTGGTAACTCATATTGATTGAAACTGCTTTGCTGTTAAGTCAAAGCCAGTAAAATGGCTACTTTACTATGCCTACCCCTATACGTAAACTTCAGTATTATTTCCTGCCCGTTTTTACCTATAAACGGATTTTGACGAAGGCGGGGGTTTAGGCAGTAATGCGGTGAAAACCACACATTAGCGAATTACTTAAGTGCGAATCAATTTCAGTTTATACCCGTAAGAAACAAATTACCATATTTAACTGAACAGTCATAGAGCTAAACATTTACTCAAACAGATTAAATCTCCTTTAAACAGAGTGACAGATAACAACTGAGTACTAAAATACAGAGAGTACACTCCAGTACAGAAATTTCAGGACAGAAAAATCTAACAGCAAACAGCTATTTAATGTTTAAACCTTTGCTTTCTAAACCCACTGCCCAACACCCGTAAGAATAATGCTACGTTCAAGGCTACAGCGTTAAAATGACATTTTAAACTTACATCTGTTTTCAAATATGCAAGACCTAGGACAGTTATCTTTGCCGTTTCACAGTACCGTTTTAAAGATATGGCTTGCATATAATAGTGGTAAAACAAGTTTTCCATTGCAATATTTTTTAAATTGAGGGGTTACGCCTTGTGTTAATATCTAGGTCAACAACAAGGTGAGTATGCTCGGACATAACCGTACTGGAAAAATATGCTGCCCCCATGATTTGCCGGTCAGACCCTATACAGGCTTCTCGGCTTGATGCACTAAAGTACAGTGGGACGAATTTCCCTACCCACTTTAACAAGAATTCTACACCACGAATAGAATTTGAACCTGAAATTTTAAAACAAACTACTTACAAACTACATCACTGCCGCCCCCTCCCTACTACATATACCATGACTGCATTATTAGTATTTTTGCATGTAATATACAACGTTATTACTCTTTCACGTGCCACAAAAAAGTCGATGCGTAAAATTATCTTTTTTGCCAGCCGATATATAGTTGATACAAAAGGCAGAAGTTCATGCACACATTCTGGTCCAGGAGCTTCGCTATCACAGATTTACCTTTCATCAGAAATAATACAGTTACACAGTCTATATTACACTAATATCTGATGCATTTTACTACAGAATTTTATACAATTGTCCTAAACGCACTTATCAACCTATTCAGCAAATCATACACAGCACTACGATGCCTTCGTATACCGTTTATCGTACTTTGCGGTATTTGATTTGCAGGTGTTTAGAAAAAGCTCCATTTATTAAATAAAAATGCACTATATAAACATTTTCCAATTTCTTACGTGATCACGCCCTGTCGCACAATAAATAGAGTAGCCTTCTAATGTGTGCGCATTACGACTGAAATGCGCTCTAATCTACATAGTGACTGACTAGAAACAACACATTGGTGTATGCTGTGGAAAAAAGGGCATCGTGGGCTAGTCGATGAAGAGGTGATTCACTTGTGTCTACTCAAGCTCTCATTCATGGAAAGAAATCGCTTGACCTAACCGGTTAGGTACATTTTAAGTTTCAGATAATAGCTGCTGCTGTGTTTTCGGTGTGGGTTTTCTCTAATTTCGTGGGATTAAGCGCATCGTTGTAGTAAGAGCGACCGAACTTTACAAGCTCTTTGTTTTATGATTTCAAATTGCTGTACGGCAAGACGTCTTTAACATACGCGTGTTTTTACATACGGCAGGGGCCCATGCACTTTTGATAATTATCGTAATGTAGATTGCGTACCGCCTTTTGTGATTGCTTGTACCTGCGGTTACATCGCACTTGCTACGTTATCTCCCGGTCATTTCAAATACCTGTTGTCAGACACTCGTCGTCGTTTTTTCGAGTTTGTTCATGGGCACGTGAGTTTTTTCCTAACGGTACTTCTGCTGCCAACATGGGGATAACTTCGGTTTGATCTACCTCCGTCATTGCATCTGATCCTGCTTCAGTCCCTGTTTGCATTGCGTTTGCACTCGTTTCATACATCGTTGAGTACTCAGATATTAGAATATTTATTATGGTAGTATTATCAAATGCACCCCCACGGTTTTGCAGTTAATCCGCGTGTTTCCATATGCTTTCTCCACCTGTTATTACCTGATAAGACAGTTCTCACGTATTATTTTAAATTTGTCCGGGCTTCGATCCATAAACGCACTAGCTTTTATCCATACATCGTTTAAGACCTGGAACTCGCGGGATTGGCGTTTCAATTTTGACATCTTCCTCCAAGGATGCAGTTTGATTCGATCAGGCAAAGTGTCCAATTTGGGTCATGTAAGCATTTTAATAGGCGACCGTCGCGTTGCTTTGGTAGGGACAGCAGGAATGCCTGTAATCGTCAATTAAGGTCACTTCCGTCAATTCTCATCGCTTTCATTTGATCTTCGAAAGTTCGCACGGATCTCCCCGTCAATCCTTTCGTTTTATAGTTATACCTAAAAATATTTTAGGTGCATTATATTCTTCGGTGTAAGTGTTCTTCCGATCGCTTGCCCATTCATTTGTTCAAGGAATCTCATCGCAACCAATTTCGTAACCCAAGTATGTGATTTTCTTCTTGACGAATGGGCTCCCTTGAAGTTCTGTTCCGAATTCAGCTGTCCTGCCAAACATCTTTCTCAAATTTTTACGAGCTCTCGATAATCCTTAACCGTTGCGACAATATCATCGAGGAAGGCATCTGCATGATTGATTCCATTCTATGCATTCATGAATCGATGGAAAATTATTGGCACCGACGCGATTCGAAACAAAAGTTTCTTGTTGTGAAAGCAGCTATTACATACTCTTCGATTGTTCGGCAACCGACATTTGCAAGTAAGCATTCATGTCCTCAAACCAGCTTAATTGTTAATTTTTTTGATATTGGCACGGAGCGTGTGCATTGATCAGGCGAAGATCGACTGTTACCCGAAAATCACTACGGACTTGCATA